AGATATTTTACCTCATTTATTTTTTGCCTTATTACCTTTCTCATGTTGTACTCTCCTTCTGAAATGTGTTTCTCCAGAATGTCCTCTTGTTGAAACCTTACCGTTCCTTCAGAGACAATCCAATCTCAAGCATCATCCATTTATAAAGAGACTTTCTTGATGTGCTTCCACCATTCCCAACTGAATTCCCACTTTTAGCCTCTATAGCATTTTTCTTAGCATTTATCAGCCTCTACCCTTCATTATGATCCAGTACAGTAGTCTCCCCTTAACTGCAGGGAACACCGGGGATGCCTGAAATAATGGATAGTACCAAACCTTATACATCCTATGTTTTTCCTATACAAACAGACCCATGGTAAAGTTTAAGTTATAAATTATTCACAGTAAGAGGTAAACAATAATAAATAATAAAATAGAACAATTATAATAATATTCTGTAATAAAAGTTATATAAATTTGGTCTCTCCCTCTCTCTCAAAATACTGTACTCAACCTTCTCCTTCTTGTGATGATATAAAGTGATAAAATGCCTCTGTGATAGGTGAAGTGAGGCGACTGACACCAGCATTGTGATGTAGTCTTAGGATACCTGTCAGAAATAGAATCATCTAGGGGCACCTGGGTGGCTCTCGGTTAAGCTTCTGACATCAGCTTAGGTCATGATCTCATGGTTTGTGGTTTTGAGCCCCGCGTCAGGCTGTGCTGACAGCTCAGAACCTACTTTGGACTCTGTGTCTCCCTCTCTCTCTGCCCCTCACCCACTCATGCTCTCTCTCTCTCTCAAAAATAAATAAACATTAAAAAAATTCTTAAAATGTATAGGATCATCGGCTTCCGTACTATGGTTGACCACTGGTAACTGAAACCGTGAAAGGCAAAACCACAGATAAGGGAGGGACTACTATATGTTCATCTTACCAACCAAATTAGATTTTTTAAAGTTTCTATTTAAATTCCAGCTGCATTAGATTTTTAATCCCTTAAAAATAGACTGCTTTAATTTATCCCTTGTACCTCAGTAGTGTTAGGCACACCATTTTTACAATGAGTACTCAGTGTATGTTTTCAACTGAACTGAAATGATTCCTATGCAAAAAATGAATTTGTCGGGATGACCCACTTTACACTTTTCATGTACTACTGAAGGATAAGCTAGCTAGCATGTGTTCACTGACTCGATTTATTGATTAATTGGTAAATTTTAGTGATGCTGTGCTTGCACTTGGCCTTCCACCCACACAGTCTCATGCACTAGAGTGCTCCTTCCTCCCCGGCCATTCCAATCATTGTGCTAACTCCTGCTGGGCATTCGGGGCTCAGTTTGGCCATCATTTTTGCCGGCAAGGCTTCCTAACCCCAAGTCTGGCTTCATGCTTATTCAACCTGTGTGTTCCCATGGAGCCCAGCACTTAGAAGGTTGCCACAGTTGGTGCCATACTTTGCTGTCAGCATCTTGAAATTTTTTTTTTAACATCTTGAGATAGTTTTTCAACAAAGGGCCCACATTTTTACTTTGACTCAACTCCACTAACGGAGTAACCAGTCCTACCTAACCCCTCCTTTCCTGCATATTCCTGTTGTCCCCTATATTTTCCCAGTCTTTGCAGTCATCACTCAGAATTCTAATTTTCTGTTTACATCTGCTGAACGTTTATTTATTTAATATTATTTAATTTAATTTAAATTGAATTCATTTACATTAAAATAATTTAATAAATTTCATATTTATTTAATTTTCTGTTTATTACTCTTTATACCTCAACAGACCCTAAACTCTGTCAAGGCAAAAAAAATCTTATTATTGTATCCCCATGACTCAGCCTAGTATTATATACTTAATATTTGCTGGTTGACTAAATGGATGAATGGTTGAGGGAAGGAGGAATTAATTAATTAATTAATGTATTTGTCTATCGATAGCCCTTTGGGCAGCCTGAGCAGTGAAGGTCTTTGGCTTGCTGTCTTCAGATGGCTCCTATAGAAATTCTAGTTCGGAAACTATGCTTGTTAGAAAGGAGTGTAAGATTGGCTCAAGAAAGGGGCACCTGGGTGGCTCAGTTGGTTAGGTGTTTTGACTCCTAGTTTCGGCACAGGTCATGATCTCATGGTTTGTGAGTTCAAGTCCCACGTCGGACTCTGCACTAATGGCATAGAACTTGGGATTCTCTCCCTCTCTCTCTCTTTCTCTCTCCCACTCTCTCTCTCTCTCTCTCCCTCTCCCCTGCATGCTCACTCTCTCTCTTTACCTACCCCCGCTCTCTCTCTCTCTCACACTCTCTCTCTCTCTCTCTCTCTCTCTCTCAAAATAAATAAACTTAAAAAAAAAAAAGACTGGCTCAAGAAAGAAAAGGGGCAAAGTAGTGGCATGAAGGAAAAAGTTTAAACAGCACCCAAATATTATCGAAGAAGGAACTAGCAAAGGACTCATGGTATAGATCTGTTTTGAACACAAACGCAGAGATCATGAAGCTACTACCATTGGGATGTTCTTGGAGGAAGAAGATACCTTAGTGATTAAATAATGCCCTGCTTGCTTTTTCTAATGGTTTCTGGTCAGCCTGGATTCAGAGAGCATGCCTAGATAACAGCCACTCACAAGAGGGGAAACATCTGTCACTGTCTTTATTTGATGTCGTATCATCCTCCCAACTATCTTAGTGATCGCTGAATTTCGTTTTCTCATTAGTAGCTTAGAGGTTTGTAGGTGCACTGGAATTTCATTTCTGGCTTACAATTTCCATTTCATGAAGGCCAATTTAAGGTGTAATTCAAAGTATCCTGAATTGTTAGATACAGGAGTGAAAAGTATGGTGAGTTGTTATTAACAAAGTATACTAGGTTTTTTTCACTAGTAGACTCCTCCTTCGAGACTCATCTATTTGAAATGATAACTCCTTCCCTCTCAGTTTGAAGAGATATAGAGGTATCCCCAAAAGTCTTGCAGAACCAAGAATGTTACTGCCATTCTTATCTATCCACACTTATTCAGCAACACTCTGCGGCAGCTCAAGGACAAACAATGTTGGAACCCTCTTTCTGCTACACAGTCTTGGATGAGTTAAAAAATGTTCTTAATTCTCAGTTTTCATATCTGTAAAATAGGAATAGTGATATTTCTATTTGTGAGGATAACATGGATAACACATGTGAAAGTGGCTTAGCACCATATCCAGCATATAGGAAACCCTCTATGAATGTTAGTCATTGTTACCAGCATACAGAACATAGGCAGTTATGAGCTTCAACTTGATTCTGTTTTGGGATAGGTATAAAGAAATAAAGAATACATGGTATCAGCGAAAGGTCCACAAACTTTTCCTCTAAAGGGTCAGAGAGTCCATCTGTTAGTCTCATGTGCCATACTGTCTCTGCCACAGCTACTTAGCTCTGTAGCTGTAGGGTGAAAGCCACTGTAGACAATACATAAGCAAATGAATGTAGCTATGTGACAATAAAACTTTATTTACAAAAAACAGACTTCAAGAGCCAAATTTGTTCCCTAGGCCACAATTTACCAATCCCTGGCTATAGGTCCTTGGGAGTTCCCAGTCAAATGCTATAGAAAGACTTGGACGACTTGTCAGGGCAAGCCGAAAGGAGACATGGACGAACTCCACTACCATACAAAAGAATGTGGAAACTGGGGCGACTGGGAGGTTAAGCTCTTGATTTCAGCTCAGGTCATGATCTCATGGTTCATGAGATTGAGCCCCATATGGGGCCCCATGCTGTCAGTGAGGAAGGAGCCTACTTGGGATTCTCTCTCCCTCTCTCTCTCTGCCTCTCCCGGACTCTTGCTCTCTCTGTCTCTATCTCAAAATAAATAAACATTAAAAAAAATAATGTGGAAACTGGTATTTTAGGGGAGATTACTCTATGAGCTTCCCAGAGATAGGTAAAAGTAAAAAGTATGTCCTAGAGCAAGTAGCTCAGGGATTGGTGTTTTGTTGTTGTTATTGTTTTCAATCTTGCATTTCAGGATAAGTAACTTCAACTTTAGAACAGAGGCTTCTCCGGGGTGCCTGGGTGACTCAGTTGGTTAAGTGTCTAACTCTTGGTTTCAGTTCAGGTCATGATCTCATGGTTTGTCAGGAGTTTGAGCCCAGCACACAGCCTGCTTGGGATTCTCTGTCTCGGGTCTCTCTCTGCCCCTCCCCCACTCATGCGGGCTCTGTCTCTCTCAAAATAAATAAATAAACTTTAAAAAAAAAACAGAGCCTTCTCTTTTTATTAGACATTTTCCTTGGGAACTCAGCTCCCCCTCTAGATCTTGAGAGTACCACAATTTTAAGAATGAAAATGTCTGTAGATTGATTGGTAGAAAATGCTGCTTCTCACTTCTGTCCCCTATGACTGCCATATGAATAGACAGAGCTGAGGAGTCATTTCTTTAGCAGTTTGTAAGGAAATGGAAAATACATGGGTAGCAGAAAAAATCATTCCCTTCCCTTACTGTTCTTATGAATATTATAAAGGAATGACAAATATCCATAAACAAAATTAGACTGTGAAAATGAGCCAGTGGCTTAGTAGTGGCTTAGAACACTTGATGGGTCACCAACGATGCCACATGTGAGGTGGATTCTGCCTCTTTGAAAGGAGATCAGCTGCAGCATGTAGTCCCGGGGTAGGATGGCAAGAACACACTGGGGCCTTTCTCAGGATCCCCACTTGGGAAAGGATTTATGGGAAATTCACACATTCTTAGTTGCAGACATTTAAATACAGCATGCAACACACACACACACACACACACACACACACACACACACACACAGTTCTCTTCATCAACAAAGTTGTAAAGGAACTCTATGTGCACCATACATCATATTATATTTTGACATTCAAAATGGCTAGTCCCTTCCAAGGTTTTTATTATTTAATTAGTGCCATTTCAAATGGGTCTGGTGCTTTAAACTATAGAAAAGAAATGAAGTCTGTCATGATAAGTCAAGTTTCTTATCAGATTTCTCTCTTTTTTTGTTGTTGTTTTACAGTTTTCTCCTTGTCTTTGGTTGCTTGATTTTGTCAGTGTTTTCCACCATCCCTGAGCACACAAAATTGGCCTCAAGTTGCCTCTTGATTCTGGTAAGTGATACATATGAGCAAAAATGTATATAAAGTTTATATAAGAACTGTGTATAATATTTATGCTATGCATTTTATCCCACCACAAAGTTCCATCTAGAAAAAAAAAGAGTTACTGTGAAGTATAAAACTTTCAAAGATCACTGAAATATTGGCCTACCATTTTACCTTTTAGCCAGTCCTCAGGAATGTATACAGATATTCAGCATTACTATTACATAGCAATATCTTATGTTGCAGTTACATCAAAGCCAGAAGGCAGGACTTGGAAGCAGTTTTACTTATGTTTATTTATTACAATAAGCAAATTATAAGAAGAATAAAAATATCCATGAGGTCTCTCATTACATTGCTAAAAATTAAAAGGTAGAGAGCATTTTCTAGTAACTGCAATGTGGCAGTAGGTAAGTGTAATTAGCCAAGAACTAGGAGAATATAGCACCTCATAAGAAAACAGAAGGCTCCTTCATGCTCTTTTCGAACAACAGACTACATTCTGAGTTTTGCTGCTAACACAAGTCACCTGGTAAGAAATTCTGCAGTTAGCTCTGTTTCCATTATGCTGTCAATCCTCAACCATACAGAATTGCTCAATTCATTTTAAAATGGAAAAAGACCCCAAGATATTTTAGTCTGAATTATTCTGGGCCTTTTAAGCTCTTTTACTTTCTATTACAACTAAACTGTATCGCTGTATACTCAAATTGCATCTGATTGAAAGTTTGGTTCATTTACATCCATTTTGATCCAGTCACTTAGTCCAAAAAAATATCAGACTTGACAGTCTCAGAACTGTCTCAATGAACTATAAGTTGGAACAACTCACTTCTATAAAACCTTGTGGACTACATAGAAGGAAAGAAAAAGAGGGTATGGGGTAAGCTGCCTTTTATGTGCCCTAATAAACAGATATGGGTTATGTACAGCAATAAACATTTAATATAAGAAAATTATCCTTACCTTGAAGATGAAGACTGAAAGATCTCAACTCATATAAACTGACTGGAGGGCAGCTGTTCCTGCTACCTATGCTTTCAGTTGGCCAGTTTGTGCTTAAAGTTACCAAGACTTCATCAAGTCTCCATCCTACATCAGAGAGAAATCATTGTTGAGCCTGGAACCAATCTATCCCAATTTGTTTCCATACAAATTGTGCTCAGCGGTATATTGTTAATGTTGAGGATGCTATTTCAAAACCAAACATAGAAAACAGACCAAAAAGCACACTGGGAATTTGCTTCACTTACAAGGTTTCCATTTGGGTAGCAAGTGGGCTTTTAGCCTTATGCACCCCTTTGATAACAACAAATGATCTGAGCCCAAGGTCTAAGGCACAGCTGGCCTTTAAGTTCATATACAGAATTACAAATAGGAATTTGAGATTGAAAAAGTAAATCTGATTTTTAGACTCAGAAACATGAAAAACTTGGTCTACTGCATGACCAATGATTATGAATGAATGAATCAAGCATTAAGAATCCCATAAAAAGGAATTTTTCACAATCAGGTCAAGGATTCAAAATGTTAGGTTTACATCGTTCAAATCTCCGAAACATAAATTCAGCCTTTGCTAATGAGTTTCTAAATAGTCCAAAGAAACATATTCCTAAAAATCCCAAAGCTGATTTTTACCTTGATTTTTAAAACTTTCTGAGCAGTGAACAAATTCATGAGAGTTTAGTAACTAGGGTGCATTTGAGTAGATAAGAATGTAGATATTGTCACATATTCCTCAGTTGTTTTCTTTGTGCCACCTTTATTCAGATATAATTGATGTATAACCTTGTGTAAGTTTAAGGTATGCCACTTGATGACACATATATATTGCAAAATGATTGCCACAATGAAATTAGTTAACACTGCATAATCTCATATCGTTACCATTTTGTGTGTGCCTGTGATGCAAACTTCTAAGATCTACTCTCAGCAGTTTTCAAGTATACACTACACTATTGTTAACTATAGTCACCATGCTGTGCATTAGATCCTCAAAACTTACTTATCTTATAACTGGAAGTCTGTGCCCTTGGACCACTTTCACCTTCCCTGCCTCAACCACCAGTCTTCTCTGTTTCTATGAGTTCAGGGGTTTTTTGTTTTTTAGATTCTACATATAAGTGAGACCATGCAGTATTTATATTTCTCTGACTTATTTCACTTGGCATAAGGCCCTCAGGGTCCATTCATGTTGTCACAAATGGTGAGATTTCCTTCTATTCAAGGTTGAATAATATTCCAATGTGTGTGTGTGTGTGTGTGTGTGTGTGTGTGTGTGTGTGTGTGTGTGGTTTTCTTCAGATATATACCCAGAAGTGAGACTGCTGGATCATATGGCAGTTCTATTTTTAATTTTTTGAAGAGCCTCCATATGGTTTTCCATAGTGGCTGCACCAAATTGCATTCCCACCAACAGTTCTCTATTCTCCACATCCTTTCTTGTCTTTTTTATAATAGCCATTCTAATAGGTGTGAGGTGGTATCTCACTGTGGTTTTGATTTGCATTTCACTGATGATTATTGATATTGAGCACCTTTTCAATTGAGTACATGCTGGCCATTTGTATGTCTTCTTTCCTCCCTCAGTCTTGAATGCCTTTGGATTTAGCAAAGCAGAAACCAGTCCCATTTGTTTTCAGCAATGCAGTAATTGCTGCAGATACATGTTCTCAGAAAGGTTGCTCTACTTCCCCAGGGAGAGTGCTTGCTTATTCTCCTATTGTTGCACTATAGGGATAAATGGTCAAGGTGTATGTTTTAAACCAAAGCGCACTCTTAAAACCTACCTAGAAATATGCAGACTGTGTTGCAGGTCTAAGGTTTCCCTGATGTTATTCTTCTGCATCAACATTTCTCCAAGAAATATGTTTTATTTAAAGGTTTCATGCTCTCCTGAGTTAGCTGAGTGAATGCTAAAATACACACACACACACACACACACACACACACACATCATGTAGAAAAAAAAATAATTCAAGTATAAGCTTTGTTTTTATTTTTGTATTTAGTAATTAATAAAATGAAAAAGCATGCACGTTTTAATTCTTTTTCACAATTAGTTAATCTAGGATATCATAAAAGTTCAGTTGGTTGTAAAATATTGGAAAAAGCCAAGAGATACCTTCTTAATGGTTTAGGGAATCTCATTTATCCTTTTAATATGTATGTTTGAGACAGTTAATCTGATTTGAAAGTCTGTCTATCCTCTGAACATCTAATCAAACAGAATTCATAGAACACAACTCTGACTAGCAATGTTTTTAGTTCCCAAGATAAAATATACCTAAAGAATTGCCATCCAAATAGTCATATGAATGGCTTTTAAAATGTTTGCAAAAATTTATAATAAAGTCACTTTTGTATACTTTTGGCCACAAATAAAGCACCAGAGAAATAAGTTTAGAACAACTCTATATAAATCATGCATCACGGTTGTATATTTTTTCATAGCTCTGTCCCATGTGGGCTTTTTTTTAACACTTTAAAAGATGTTCCCATATTCTAACTGTAATTCCATTTCTGTGCAAGTAACAAGCACCCACACTTCTGACGGAGCACATGACAGGCCAGCTGGCTCCTGGACAAACTTGCCAAGCCCCTCTGTGACATTCATGCTTTCCACCTGTGTTTGAGGGAACCAGTCTTTGGACTTGGTCTTGCTCTCACAGAGTCTTTGGCTCTCCATCTCCCATCCCAAGGGAAGAGGCCTCATCATTCTCATCTAGAATTGCACTCCCAATGCTACTTATAAACTTGTGACTTACTGGCCTTGGTTACCAGCCAAATGGATACACGCAAATTCTGTGTGAATTTGCTCTTTTATTCTTCCCAGTTGTGTGGACTGAGGTTTCATACTATGCACCAGGTTCCCTTATGGCTCTCCACAGAAACATGGCACAACAGCCCTAACAATGTGGTGTAGACTCTGGAGCTGGGTACAATGAGTCCAGATTCTGCTTCTACCACTCTTTATATGTGTGCCTTTGGGAAACCACTTCTCTGTGCCTTAGTTTGCTCGTCTGTTAAAAGTGGATAATAATACAGCCTACTTCATAAAGTTGTTGTGAGGATGAGTTAAATTCAATTGCTGAGAACAGGGCTCAGCACAGAGAAAGTTGGCAAATATTGTAACCACTGGTTCTTCCATATTAGTGAAGCCTAATAAGGACAGTGAACAGTGGAATATTTGAAATTGCTACATTTGAGAAAATATCACACTTTTCTAATAGAAAACAAGGATCTTTGCTAGAATTTTCTCACCACAAACACGGCTAATTATGGCAGCTTTCTTTTTTTCTATGACAGCTTTCTATACAAATGTGTTCATCTAACTAAAAGTGACTCCATGGCACACATTCACCATGAGGCCTGTGTTCATAACAACCACTTACTTTTGGTGACTAATGAAACATTTTTATTGTTGTAGTTCTTTGATAAATGCATCTGATGAAAATGCTCACGGCTTCGTAAGTTCTTCCCTCAATATCTGCATCTGCTGGGTGCAACGTGAGGCAGGGATAACTAGATCTGCCAGAATGGCTTGCTCTGCCCTCACTCTGCGGATAACATGTATGAACTCAAGACTATAATACAAAACTGTGTACCCACATACCGAAGGCAATTCAAAGCTGGTGTTAATTTCCTATGTCTTGTAAAGAATTCTTCAAAACTGAAGGGGAGCTAGCTAGCGTTTTTTTAAGTACCTTTCATTTATCCGACTCGTCGATTTCTTATTAAAACAAAAACAAACCATAAAAACGTTCAATTTAAGTAGTAGTTCTCTCATTTACCAAATGGCTAATTACATTGTGCAAGATCATGCACTGGGTCTAAGACAGAGCCAAGATGCCATCTTAGGCCTGGCTGATGAAAAGCCTGGGCTGTCTTCTCAGTAGCCAGCAACCTCATATTCTCCTGCCTCTTAGTCAAGACTGACAGGTACTACCAAAGTGCATTTGCTGCTGCTCAGTGAAGCAATCACAAAGGTGTAAGGCTTCTTTTGG